CGCAACAGAGTAAAGCAACGGAAAAGAGAGAAAGGGAGATAAGAACCAAAGCAGGAGACAGATGAACAGAAAGAGACATAAACGCTAAAAACGGCAAACAAAACAGCAACATAACCCTTACAGACACAGGGGCAACGGGAACAGCAAAGCATATGAACGCACNATATATATATATATATATATATATATATATATATATATATATATATATATATATATATATATATGTTATGAATCGTGGTGCTGCCGCTGCTGTCTTGGTATACGGTTGTATACATATTCTGCTACTTGTATTGTTATTAGTACTAAAACTGCTAAACAACCCAACACAAACTCACCTGTTGCAGACGAGACGAGCACACAATCATCGATGTGAACATTGCGGATCTGCCGCACCATTCGCCGGACCCACTGTTTGACTCTGAGCAAAGAAACAACAGCTGAGCTGCAGTGTACGTACACCTCACGACTACTTGTATAACAGCCTCTGTCAAATGATGAATTTAGACTGCAGGTATCTGCTGCACCATGCATGCATGCATGCACGCATGCATGCATGCATGGTGCAGAAGATATGCATAAATGCATGCATGCATGCATGCATGCAGGCAGGCATGCACTTCGTAGTGCATGTGCATGCAACCACATAAATGCACACAAGTCTACACATGTGCTTGTAGAGTCTGGCTCATGAAATGCAGATCATCTATTCCTTTTGGGTGAGCACGCGCATTTACACCTAACCCCTAACCCTAAACCCTAAACCCTAAACCCTAAACATATTTTGTATGTGCATCTCCTGGGCGTTCTTCGCTGCGCGCATGCATGCATGCATGGTAGGTTCTTCTGCTTAGGTACTGAGGTGTACATACGGCAATGCAACTCACTGATTTAAATCTGTGTGTTTCGGAAGGCAATCGACGCGGTTAACGACCCAGATTGCCTTGAGGCCTTTTTCTCTGCATGCAGCGAAGAGCTCGGGAACCACAGAAAGCTCTAAGTCGCAGATATCAACTATTTTCAATACAATGGAGTTGTTTGGCATCACTCGTGTAAGCTGTGTTATCACCGAAGAGGCTGACAACGCAGGCAAACACCCAGCAGCAGCAACTGCCGTACGCTCCCAAGAACTGTCGATGCTGCGGTAGTGCTGAAGATACACCCCAACCCACACAGCAGCAACACACCAGCAACAGATTCACATGCATGCATGCACTTGCCGCTTGATGCAGGTGTACGCATGAAAAGCATGCATCAGCAGAAGCTGCTGCGGCCACAGCAGCAGCTGGTGAGTCGCAGCAGCGCCTGCTGCTGCTGCTACCCAAGCAGAAACAAACAAATGTGTAGCTAGACACAGCATGCAATGAAACACTGAAAGGCAGCACACGAGAAAAGACAACACCAGTTGATATTACTTTTTGGGAAGATCAAAGTAATGCACAGCCAATGCAGAGAAGCAAAAGTACCTGCATGCGGTAACAGCGCTGACACGTGAGCAGGCTCGTGCGTACGCGGAACTTGGGAGATGTTTGCTGCGCATACACCGCAGATAGCTGGGGTGTATCCGCAGCTTTCAAACACAGCAACCCCAGTCCCACGGCAACCAAGTCCACTTCTTTTCTCCCCGGACCCGCGTTAAGCTAAGAGGCAAGCAGTAGAGTGTCGTGGCCTCGTCCGCATGCAGAGAAACAACAAAGAATTGTTTCTGTGCAGATAAAGATGAATGTAGATATGTAGATAAAGATAAACAGAAACAGCAAACAGTATATCATTACCTGCATCACTTCCACCCCGTCAGGGACCGACTCCACAACTTGGCCTCGCGGCCTCGGCAGCCGCTTCACTCTGCCCCCTGATCCGCACAAACCCTAAACCCTAAACCCTAAACCCTNAAACCCTAAACCCTAAACCCTAAACCCTTGCCCACTATCCCAAGAGCACCAGTCAGTTCTCATGCTCCCCATAGATTCATGCTTAAGACGCACCCACGCCTCAGGTTTTATTGTTTAGGGTTTAGGTTTAGGGTTTAGGGACCCCCTCTTCTGTCTATAGGGCGTTTAAGGGTTTAGGGTTTAGGAGTTTAGGGTTTAGGGTTTCGGCGAGTCTCTACCCCCCCTACTACAAGCATTCATAAGGAGACAGCCAAAGCAAACTACGCAAGCAAAAACGCAATACCGCATATCATCAGTAGCAACAGCAAAACCCATGGCCATACAAACGCCCATGGGGCCCCTGCAGGCTCGTGCAGCCCCCGGGGGCCCCCAAGGGCCCCCCAGAGACGTACTATGGAGCTCAAGGGCCCCTCTGTTCGTTCGCGTGCGGCCGCATGGGAGTGCTGGCATCCTGGGGGGTTGTATGGCTGGTTGCATACGCACCTGAATACTCTTCGTACTTGTGCTTAGGCACGAAGCCCACGGCAGATTCTTCTTGGGTTTGAAGCGGGGCCCCGCAGCCTGAGCAGCGGGTGGGCTGCATGCGGTCTATCTGAGGCAACGCATGCACGAGGTGTCAAAACAGCCGGCAATTGATACAGGGTTTTGTATTCACGCTAAGCTTCAGTAGCGAGCTCGGCTTACACATCCTTATACATTGCATTATATACAATGTATATATACTGTATATATGTATATATATATATATATATNTATATATATATATATATATGTGCATCTGCATATGTATATGTTGCGCATGCATATGTGTGCATGTGGGTTCATGCACGTAGGTAAAGGGAAGCAGCGTGAGAGCATATGCGTGTGTTTGAATGCTTTGGGGTGTATGGTTTTCTTTGTCAGTCGGTTTGTCTGTGTCAGCTGGCTGCACGCGGCGAATAAGAATGTTGTTCTATACAAATATTTGTGTTTATGAATGCCTATAACTGTAATTACATGAACAGGCTTGCACACAATTGGGGTGTATCGGCAGTCTACACACAACAACTGAAGCCTCCATATTGTGGGCAGCACAAGCATCATACGGACATTACATTCGACACACACTAAATATTTTATATACATCGTACGTTCTATACACGCCAGATACAAAGTATATATAATATATATATTATATATATGGATCATACGCTATCTACATCTACAATATATGTGGGCAGTGGCAACGCCATCTGCGCTCCTCCGTACACCTCAAAGCCCTACCCAAAACAAGTCAGTGGTTATACCCTGCAGTCCTCCATTTTCTTCTTTCCTTTCTTCCGCTCCGCTCGTCAGCTCCCCAGCGTTGTGAGGAGCTTCAGAGGAAGAAAACGACCTTCTGTAGCATCCACTGAGCTCTGCAGCTGCTGTTACGCCCATAGGTCTCACCCCTTGCACACTGAGACTAGTAACCGGACCCACATCACACAGAGGGGCCCCACAGGGGCCCCCGAATGACCCCCCATGACGGTAGGAGGGGCCACTGAATGGGGCCCCCAGCGGAGATTCCTTGATGTCCTTATTAATGGCTTCAAATGGAGGCCCCCTAAGAGTGGTCTCCAGTGCAGAAGCTCCGGTGGGGCCCCCCCGGGGGGCCCCCACCGGTGGGGGGCCCCCCCGTGGGGCCCCCAACTGAGTTTCTCGTATATGTGTGCAGAGGCCACCAACAGGATACCTCACAAGAGACTGCCGGGGGGCCCTGCTAGGCGCCCTTTGGAATGGTCGTGGTGCTGTAAGGCTCTGTATGTCTTTGCTCCTTTTGTTTCTGTTGCGGAGGAGCAGAGAAGGGTTACTGGTGAAGCGTCTAAGCAAGCGTAGATTCAAGGGGGTTGCCATGGGGTTCGTCAGAACTACCTCATTTAGGAGGTTTGCATGGGTTTCTCCTTTTGTAAAACAAATGTTTGAATATACTAGGGACGGAACTAAACAAGACAGAAACCACTGCCGGGCGTCGATTCAAACAGTGGCATCGCCGACCTACACCCGCAGCTGGCGCCTGCAGCGGAGTTTGTCATCGAAAAAAGGAAATATATTTAGATGTTTTCGATGTATTTGAAATTTATTTTAGTGCTATCACAAAATCTACTGAAGTGCTTCTAGCGCTGCGATGGAAACCAAGGAAAGTAAGCCACAAGCAAGATCACCGTACCCGATAGGCACAAGGCACAGCTATTTGCAACTCTGTAAGTAATGAACAATTCGAAAAATGTTTATACATTCAGAACAGCGATCAATTGGAAACCATGAAGTTTCATTTTTTTGTGTATTTATTTGTTTTCTTACAGAGTTTGGGCTATTTCCCCAGGTACGGCAACCGGTAGAAGCCCCGCGCTGGCCGTTCATTAGTTGATTAGCATTACTTGCAGCAGAAATTCATTAAAAGTTTATTTGCGATGTTTTAAAGTTTATGTGTGGACTACTATTCGATGCTACGTCTCCTGGGGGGTTGTCCGGTCAAGGCGCACTGAAATGTGGAATGATTTGTTTAGGTCTTTAAGAGAAAAAGAATTCCCCTCGCTTGAAAAACTTCTATATCACGTCAAAAACGGCCAAGGTAAACTGGAGATACTTGTCCCAAACTCCCTTTTTACTAGAAGGAGAAACAAAGGTCCAATGGCCTATACATATATATATATATATATATATATATATATATATATATATATATATATATATATATATATATATATGCGTACATATATATAGACGTGGAAATAATATGCATGCAGTAAAAGAATAATCCCGCACTCCTTTTGTGTTGATATCTGAACTGCGTTTCCCCCCGTTGTTTTCCTTGAAGATATATTTCGTACAATTCACTTCGCAGGGCGTTGTGGCCCCTCTGTTGGCTTCTGCTGAAGCACTAGTCAGGGCGATTCATGGGCGCAACAGCTTACCACATAAACAAACGTTCTGTCCACTGTGGTCATTCCAGATTCAGATCGGATTCACATTGCTTTTTATATTATGCGGGTCGCCGCCTGCTCTCTTGGATATCCGATAATAATAAATAATAGCATTTACAATAATAAGAGTACATAGCATGTGCCCTCAGCGGCTTGCTGTCCGGTTTCGTCAGTGGTCCCCCTATACTCCTTCTAGTGTGGGCTAAGGTGTAAGATTCTTTTGGGTTTTGTTTCTTCGCCGGTGACACTGTCAAAAACCTCGACGCTGGAAATCCAAAAGCTCAAGCCAACAGATGTACATACATCTCTTTGTGCGAGGGGATGCAACATTATTATGAACACTGCTGAACCTATGGGTATATCTCCTATAATGTCTACCATGCCCTCGTATCGCAGGAATTTCTGTATATATATATATATATATATATATATATATATATATATATATATATATATATATATATATATA